CGTTGACCCTGAGCCGTCCTTTACCAGAGGTGGGAAGTAGTGGAGTACAAATACTTTGTTACTGTACTTGAGTACATTTTTCTGGTATCAGTACTTTACTCCACTACTTATTTTTTTGGCGAATTTTACTTCTTACATTTTGAACACAAATACCTGTACCTTCTACTTCTTACATGTTGAACACAAATACCTGTACTTTCTACTTCTTACATGTTGAACTCAAATACCTGTACTTTCTACTTCTTACATGTTGAACACAAATACCTGTACTTTCTACTTCTTACATTTTCCAAACAGGCTGGTTCCTTTTCAAAGTAAATGGATAATCGTTTTTAATAATCGTGATATCAATTATTGACCCAAATAATCGAGATTATGATTTTTGCCATAATCGAGCAGCCCTAGTATAACTAGGTAGTATGTTATATAATTCAGGCTATGAATGATATATGAACAAACCCCTTCTGGAGAGTTGCTGCAGCCTAGAGATGTGGCCTATTCAAGTGATAGACCTTGATTTGTTGGCAGCTTGTAACAATCGCTTGGTTTTTGCGTTCATTTAAGAAATAATTTAGTCGACATTTAGTAAGTTAACTGTATGGAATAAACAACCATCTTTTACATTTCAGTCAGCCCTTTTGTCCAGTCTATTCATCAGTCACTCAGTTCACTACATACTGAATCTTGCAGTATTTTTAAGTGTTTTTCCCACCTAGGTAGTTCCTGCTCTTCACCATCTCTGTCACGTTGATCTTGGTGGCTCCCTCGGGGATCTCCACTATCTTGTGGTAGCCGATCTTCGTTAAACTGTGTTTGTAGACTCCAGAGACGAGCCTGCAGGTTGTGTTTTCTCCTCCACACACACCGCACCTGTCCATCACCTTTCCTGATCCAAGGTACTCATCGCAGCCCAGACCCTGAGACACAGAGGAGAAGCAGTTTGAACGAAGAAGTGTGGAGGGAAACAGCTCGTATAATTATGCACTACAAACCTGCTTCAGATTATTGAGAGCTGATGTTTTTGGTCAAATAAAAAGAGCTCATTAGGTGTAAAAGAGTACGTTAACAAAGCCAAGCCACCTGCAACTACTCACATCATTAACTGCAATAATGTAATAACTAATTAGCAGGAGTTATGTTACTTTCCAGAAGGCATCGTTTTTATGAGACATGAGACTTTGAATTGCTTCCAGAATTTATTTCTAAATTTCCTTAGGGTGTGAGTTTTCTGTGTCATATTGGTGGTAATAAATTACAGGAAACCTGGGCGCTGTAAAAATAGAACGGTTAACATCAGCAGTCCATAAATTCACACAAACCAGCAGTAAAAGCAGCTCGACGTGCAAACAGGTGGAGGAGCTGGAGCACACACACACACACACACACACACACACACACACACACACACACACACACACACACACACACACACACACACACACACACACACACACACACACACTCCAATCTCCAGGCATAGCTTCCATGTGTATTCCTGATTAAAGGTGACATATTCCTCCTTCTGTCTTGTCTTGTATATTTCCCTCAGCTTTGAGTACTGGGTTCCAACCAGTCTATGGTTCCAACCGCATGTCACAAATCAAAAGTCAAATACAATCCATGCAAATGTACTTTTTTTTTGGCTTTTCCAGGTTGTCTAACAATTGGGGCGGTTGTTTGGCCCTTCAGTCAACATGTCAAAGTGTCCTTGGGCAAGAAGCTGAAACTCAAATAGCTCTCGATGGCCAACAGGGTGTGAATATGTGTGAATAGGTGATTGGTATATAAGTAGAAGGGCTTTTTAAGGCCCTGACACACCTACCCGGTTTTGGGAGTCAGAGGCCGTCAGAGGCAGTCGGGCATTCGCGGCGCCCTACTCAGGTTGGTGTGTCCCGCACCGTCGTTGCTTTACGGCACATTTTCACACCTCCCGTGGCCGATTCAACATGTTGAATCGGCCAAAGAAAGTTGGCTAAAGANTGCGCGTTCGTGTGTGTTGGAGGAGGGGCTCTGTAAGGAAGTCTGAAGGAAGAGGCATATTTTTTCCGGTTGTGTATTTTCAAATTCTAGCGCACTCGAGCTGGTTTCTCCATTCTTACCTACTCTACCTTTAACTCTTTTTAGGGTGCAGCTATATGTTTTATTTATTTCAAAGTGGGCCCATTTTAATTATATTTTTTTTTCCTTCAAATGTGCAGAGGACTCCCCAAGTGCTGTGTTTAATTTATTTTAAAGTAGGCCTGTGTATTATTTTTAATTCTCCTTATAGGAGTTATTTGTTTCTTATTAGAGGTTAACAGTTTTATATAATGTAATAAATAGCCTAATAAATGCAAAAAAACTGTAGTTTTTGTCTGATATAACAATAAATACAACTTTATAAACTATCAAACTATGAAATATGTTTTGCGGCTCCAGAAAAAAAAATGTTTTGGAAAAAGGAGCAAAATGGCTCTTTTGGTCAAAAAGGGTGCAGACCCCTGCCTTAGAGGAATGACATGAAGACATTTAGAGGAAGTGTATTTTAACAAGAGGAATTTCAAGCTTTGACACAAAATAACTTGAAACATATAGTAACTCCTTAAAGCCATTTCCAATACGTCTGGGACATTTGATACAACATTCAGAGCATATATCATTTTATTTAATGATAAAAAGTGTTGTTTCTTTGAACTGGCTGTTGGAGAGAAGAGAGAACAGAAAGCACAGCTGGTACAAGAGTAAGGACTATTGAAACAGGCTCAAATATGCAGTTCCAATATTTATCCAAACGATGTGTGTCTACTCATTAAAATGATGGTGATCTGCTTGGGTTTATGGCTGCGAATTGGCCGCAAGTCAGTGGAAATATGGATTGAGGGAAGGACTGAGAGGAGGAGGAGGAAGGGAGAGTAAAAAAGTGGTATAGCAGGAGGGGGAAATGGTGGCAGTTGCATAAAAACTTCAAGGAGAGTCTGGCAGCTCCCTGTGTTTCGGGGCCAAAGCACCACCTGAGCCAAAACCAACACGCAGTGCCTCCTTCACCACAGGAAATAAATGATGAGAGAAAAGGAAAGCAAACTAAGAAAGCTGGAGAAAAAGGAAATAAAACTGCCAAACGCTCCTGCGGTCAGTGTGGAATTATGTTGCCGTGCAGCATGGGTCCGAATAATGCCTGGATCAAAATCACTAATCATAACACGATAACATTCAAGAGGAAAACTGCTGCGTGTCATGATCTCACCTCACTGAATTTAAAGCAACACAAACTACTACAGTTCATCCATAACTGAATATGAAATTCAAAACACATTGTGGGACATTTCGCAAAGCTACAATAATTCAGACGTGGAAAAAAAATAAAAACTGAGTCAAGGAGGATATTTATTGACAGAAAAACCAATAAATAACCCTTCTCTGTTTTCACCGTAAATCCCTTCAAACCAAAACAACACAATGATAGCAGTAAATGTTCCACTCATAAGAACAGACGCTGACACAGTGAGAGGTTATCTGTTGGATGGGAACATGTCTGAATTTAAAACAGAGAGATACCAGAAAACAGGTCTCCAAACGTTGTTCTTTCAATTTACTCAACTATCAGAAAAGGATGCTTATCATTGGTTTCACCGCAGCCCAAAATATTCTCTTAACACGATTGAAACCTCTATACTATAATCAAACAATGGATATCTTCCTTCCATGACACACTCATTTCAGAGCTGAAGGAGAAATACTAGAGGATATTAAAATACAGTGGAGAACCGTCAGGGCCTTCAAGGTATTCAGAGAATACCCTGGAACACTCAGATAAAACAAACACAAAATCGATTTAATTATATAAATAAAATGTATATAAAATGAATAAATGAGA